CCTTGTTGCAGAATATTGTTTCTCATCCATATTCATCATAAACAATATTTATGCTTTCTCAACAGCACATCAGAGAGATTGCCAAGTGAGTGATAAAATAACCAACAATCKAAATGTATTGGAAGAACTGGCAACAAAGCTGGACAAAGAGTCAAGAGTACTAAAAAACTGGAAATATCTTGGACTAAAGCTTGGAGTAAAGAGAGAAATACTACAAGAAATTGGGAATGGGAATTCTCCAAATGCAGTWGAAGCCTTGTTTGAATATATTTACTCAACCATGCCTGGTTTAACTGTTGAGCAATTTAAGGAAAAGATGGAAAAGATTAAGAGAGTAGATGTTTTGGATCTCTTTACTGACACTGAAACAGGTAGGCTCTTTAATAAGCACTAAGCTTTGTTATATATTAGAAGAAAATTCATTTCATTTTAGTAAGTAAGTGTGGTTACAAAGTACAAAAAGCAAGAAGCAAGGAATGAGAGGGTATTTTTGCAACCATTTTCATAAGTATGTGATGCTAGAACCCTAGTGTACATGCAGTGCAACAACTTTAACCGCTTTGATTAACCAGGATTAAAGTTTCTGAAAAAAATGGTCTTACCCAAGATGAATTTAATTATCACAGCTGTTTGTTGTATCCCTGTTTTTTCTTTCATCAGGTAAGATGATGGAAGTGGTACCACTCCACAGYGATCTAATGTGCTCCATCTGCTACATGCTGAATAAGAGTTCTGCAGCTCTTAAAAACTGGAGACATTTGGCTTCTGAATTAGGAATCGATTACRACACATATAAGAGCTTTGAACCTGACTCTCCTCAGAGCCCAACGAGTATCTTACTGGAGTGGGCATGCTGTGCGAGAGGGGATAATTTCACTGTAAGAGAATTGTGTGGGAAATTAGAGAAAATGAAAAGGTATGATGTAATAGAGGTTATTGAGAAGGAATTTGGACAAAATTTTAGGAAACCTCAGCATTTATAAACTGCGCCTGCTGCAACGTTCTCTTGTGTGGTGAATCGAGGGTGGAGGAAAGCGGGTGGTGTAGCAGTAGTGTACTCGCCTCTCATGCTCCTTTACATCACATGAGTATAGAGTTTGCTACGGGTGTAACTCTACCCCTTGCTTCTCAGGTTTTCTTCACTCAAACCTAACAAACTAAATTCGAATTCGATCTTTGACTTAACCGTTCCCTGACTTAGATCAGCGAAGGGATTGTTTCAGGGTTCTCAGGGTCTGTAAGTTAGCCATGCCCTGACTTAGATCTGCCGAAAGGTTGTTTCAGGGTTTGATCTGTGAGTTAGCCATGCCCTTCCTTAGATCAGTTCAGAGGTTGCTTCAGAGTTCAATCTATGACTTAGCCGTCCCCTGTCTTAGATCTGCTCAGAGGTTGTTTCAGGGTTTGATCTGTGAGTTAGCCATGCCCTGACTTAGATCTGCCCAGAGGTTGTTTCAGGGTTTGATCTGTGATTTAGCCATGCCCTGACTTAGATCAGCCCATAGGTTGTTTCAAAGTATATCTCGATAAATAAGGTTTTACGGTTGAATCTTCCCGCCAATGGTGAAAATGCATATAATATAATACGGCTACAATATAACGCACGCTTCTACTGGACAAGGCGTGCGTATCCATAATTCTTTKATCAGAACTGTTAATCAAGAAGCTTTCGACTGGTGACTCTAGAAAAACGTAAGATTGAGGTGAACTGCGCGCTAAATATTTTTAAAATAGAAGTAGCAATTGTTCTTAGATTTTAGATAAACAACACTCGAATCTTAATAAGCTTTTATTTTATTTTTAAGCTTTTATTTACATTTTATACTTGTCTCATAGAAGTCTCATCAAATTTCCCACTAGTGTACATATGAYAAGGGTTGACCAGCTCTTTGGGACTGACATAATAAGCCCACCAGCTTATAAGATAAAACAGATTGTAATAGAATTTRAATAAATTCRATAAATAAWWGTTATGACTATACTGTTGATGTTTTGTCATCAAAACGATGAACTGACTTGGGACAAGGGACMCAGCCGTATTGAATCGATGATAATTGGGTTCTGTCACTCTAATATAAAAACTCAAAGACACGATGGAAATTTGATTAACGGAACTAAAAAACCCAGAAGTCTTGAAATAGGTATTAAATYATATTAAAAGGGCTTGAATAAGTATCCTTCTTGTGCAGAGAAACTTTACCAACAGGATCGACCAGGCATCATGCAAATCCAACGACAGGGGAGGGGAATGGCTAAAACTATTGCGAAAAGCGGACAAACGTGGACACCTCCTCTCCCTTCTTAGGCCCTTCTTATAACTTATATATTTTATCTGTAGGAACTTGTAGATAAATTAGATCCCCGTGAAAAGCTTTGTGAAACTGACGTTTCGGACGTTAGTCCTTCTTCGTTAGTCCTGCACTTACCCCGACGAAGGAGTAACGTCCGAAACGTCAGTTKCACAAAGCTTTTTGCGATGATCCAATTTATCTACAAGTTACTACTGTTTTATTCAGAAACACCAACGCAGTCTACGCTAGTTCTACTAGTTGCCACCACTATTTTATCTGTTAATGGCATTTAATAACAACAATAAAAAATTGATTGATTGATTGATTGATTGGATGAGGAAGTGACGTAGTCACATTTTGGCAGAGGCATCTTTGGCCGTACCGACGATACCGACCGCGTAGACCGCGTAGTCTACAACTCGTACCCAAAGCCCACGTTTCTCTTGTTCAACCCCAGGAAGCCCATACGAGCTTTCTAGAAAAAATTTTTGAAGGGAAATTTTWWAAAAAARTSGSTAAAATGGCYCGAAATCACTACTAAAGRACAAGGGCGACGTAAACAACACTTCATGTGAGTAAATATTGGCTYTTATTGTTATTTTTTCGTTAAAATTACATTCAGTTCTCAAAGCTTGTATTATGGGCTTCCTGTGGTTGAACACAGAGTATGATGGGAAGCCTGTGGCTCGCGTGACGTCAGGACGCTGTATCTTGGAAGTGAAAAGAAGGCGGAAGTAGAGAACTAACCGTCGTAAACCGATAAAATAACCCCACAACAGTACTAGAAAATGCAAAGAGGTGCGTAAAAATGATATTATGTCTTTGCTTTACGTAAATTCAGGCCAGACAGACAAGAAACTTCTCTGATTATCGCAAATTTCGGATATGAGAAGTTACACGAAGTCACAGGGGGTTGATTCAAGATTCCAAGAATCGAGATGTCGAGTTTAATATCGAGTACTGGTTTCATCCTCATCAAAGTTTTTAATTCTTTCATTTCTATATTCCATTATATTGTATACACCTACTTGCAAGAACGTTGTCATACGAAAATAGAACATTAGTGATTTAGTGGGATAGGAATTATATTAAAAAACAAAAGAAGATCACTGAAGCTGAACTTTTTCTTTTGTCTTTTAATGTATTCCTTTCTCACTAAATTACTAATGTTCTAATATCRTATGACAACGTTCTTGCAAGTAGGTGTATCTGTTTTTAGTGTATAGATCTTATTAGACATTTGAGGTTAAAGTACGGGTGGATTCTTCGAGTTTGCATGCAGTATTTTGTCGAGCCCGGTAGGGTGCAAACACTTGACCGAAAAATCCATTCAGATATAAATAACAATGAAACATCTGCCATCTTGGTTTATCTTACAACAGAATGAGAAATGCTTTGCATACTCAACCATCCTGGCGGCTATGACGTAACATGTACCCCAAGAAGACGACAAWAAATATCCACCGTACTGTACCCTAAAATGTGTTATGAGTTATTTATTATTCAACGAATTTTGCTTTTTCCCAAAAATGGCTTCGAGACGATTTTTTTTTTCTGGTGTGACTCAAAAAMCAGTTTTTACTAAATATAAACCTAGAGTGACCTAGAGTACAAATATCGCAAGATATTGATACTCGCTCCTGCAATATTTGTACTCTACTAAAGATTAGTTTCATTGGCTGAAATATTCGTACTTAGTTCACCAATTGCTGGAGTAAACTGAGTTTATAAATCACAAACACTGAACTCATCTCGCCGTCAAAACAAGGGAGCTAGGATAAATTGGTACTTTAAAATATTAAATTACTACGGATCTCACCGAACTGTGGCGACATGCCAAAAATTTGTCTCGATACCACACCCTAATTCGTCCACTGACAYGCCTACTTTTGTCACTGTCTCRAATCTAGCACATTGCMARTAAGGTATTCACTGTAATACATGTAAMAAAAGTAGGCGTGACAGTAGACGAATTAGGGTKTGGTAGGGAGACAAATGTTTGACATGTTGCCACAGTTCGGTGAGATCCGTAGTATAAGAAATTAGAATCTCAATACATTAAACATTGAGATATTGGGAGCAGTACRAGATAATGAATGCGGATTATTGATTGGTACTTGTACGAAGAAGTTCGGGGGCGGGGGGCGGTTATGGGGATATGGATTTACTTTGTACTGATTTGGGTACTGTTAAATGGTTTATTTTAAAATATTTAATTGCCCCATGCTTAGATTGTACATGTCATATAACATTAGTGTATTAGATTTCTTCATGCTTAGTTTGTTAAGGTTTGTATATATCATATAACAGTAGTRTATTGGATTCCTTGAGTGTCACTCTAGCTATTTTTCATGATGAAATGACGTATATTCATGATGAAAAATTAAATTGCAAAAACTCAACGAGGAGAGTCATAAACAGGAGACYGAGATTTCATATCTTAATTAATTTTACCCATGCATATATTAAATGTTCCTTTTTGATATTCAGCTCATTTTCAGCAATCTCTACTGTTTACTCATGTCTAACGGTTCAATCTGCCTAATATCATGTCTAAACGCGAAGGACCCCAAAGATGCTACAGTTTATACGGCTGCTGGAGGAACTGCCACTGTTGAATTGACAATTCTGGAAAAACCTGATGGAAATKTGAAGAAGAAATCTTCAAATTTGGAATTCACAGGATGCTTTATAAAAAATGATGACAATCTTCATCATTTTATTGACAAATCATTCAGACCAAACTTCAACAGGAAGAAATTTAATACACAAAAACCAAAATACCTTTTTTATAGTCCTCTTCATTTGAGCCAGTACCAAGGAGATGTGACCATGGCTGTTCTTAAGTATATGGAGATTTCAAAGAAAGAGACGTCCATGGAACTAACAACATGTTGCCTGGAAAACCCATTGGTTTTCATGTTTAATGGGCATTTGTTCTTGTGCTGTGATTCAGAAGATCTAAACAAAAGCAAGTCTATGGATAAATACAGCAAGGAGTATGRAATCAATCAAACTTTAGATTTCAGCAAGAGGTTTTATGGATTAGGCATGGAGGAAGACCTTCTTAAGTTCATTTCCTTCTACATGCAGCAAACCAAATCAGGGAGTTATAACTGTAACGAAACAGATTTTAATAAACTGCAAGAGGCTGGGCCACTTCTTCTGGAAAATAACAAAACTATAGTGGGATACTACAGAAAAGTGGAGGGAAACTGCAGAATTAAGATTTACTTGTTTGAAAATAGTCAAGGTAATGAACGAAATAAAAATATATATTCTATTTTTATAGGTTACTCTTAATTTAGAAGCAATGTGGGATTCAGGGGTGGTGAACGAWTGTGCAAAAAGGGTAGAAATGTATGAAAAGGATTTCTGTACAAGGGAGTTATACCTTTGGATGCACCAGTACTCCAGCAATTGTAAATTTATCTTTTTAGTTGACTCACCACCAGCCTCCTCATCAGCCAACCCTCCAGAAGAAGAACTACCACCAGCCTCCTCATCAGCCAACCCTCCAGGAGGAGAAC